GATACAAAGGAAGGACCATTTTGTATCTGTGAATGCAAAATAGTTAGGATAGATATACAGCTACTTTTTATTAATTCAATGAGAAGAAAGATTTGTACTAATAGTATTTGGACAGGATATCACGTCTGCATCTTGTACTAAGAATAACCACTAAGAAGATAACAATATGCAATGTATTAATTATTGAAATTGTCCTATTAATTGGTTTTGAAACTGTCTCATTACTGTTTCTCAATAAAATTAAAAAACAAACAAACAAACAAACTTTAAAAAAAAAAATCTGCTGGCTCCAAGGCAAGGTGGCATGGCAAAAAGGCACGGTAGGAAAGAAACAGTTCATGGCAGGCAGCAGGCAGCAGGCAGCAAGTAACGTTCTTTTTCTCCTTTATTCAGCCCACACACTTTAGAGCACATATCACTCACACCCATGGGAGGGCAACCTTAATCATGCCCAGAACTATGCCAAGCCAATCAGAGTACTGATTTAGTAATCATGTGCCTTTGATCCCAGCATCACACACTCCAGATCCAGCCATGTCCAAGAATCCTCACTTATTAATGCATGAGGCTTTGGGGGGATATCTAGACACAAATCACTTGGCTCTTCCCTATTACACCTGGACTTTACCTTGGACCTCCTACTTACTTCACCATGTTCTAATTTAAACCCCTGTTCCATGTTCTTGTGCACTGAGCTGTTACCACTCTACTTCTGCTCTCAAGAGTCCATCACACTTTGTCCTAAATGCCTGTTTACTTGTGTGTACCACAGAGACCACAAGACCTAGACTTCTACCACTAGTACTTCTTACATGCTAAATATGATCTGATATTCATTTCATTCATGTGATTACTAGTAATCATAAAGTTCCATGAGACACTATTCTATTTTAAATCTAGGAGCATCAGCCTTGAGAAAAGCCTGAGCAATGTAAACATTCACTTGAATGGTGACATCAAAGTAAAGATAAAAATGAGAACAATGGGTAGAATTGTATTTATCAGAAAACTTTTTAGCTTGAGAAGTGCAAAAAGCTCAATACACTGTGTAATAATTACTCTTTTCATTGTTGAGACCAAACATCCAACATACACAAATTAAAGGAGGAAAGGATTATTTTAATTCACTATAGACATTTCAGTCCGTATTTGGCTGGCTCCAAGGTAGGGTGAGCATGGCAGAGGAAAAACAATTCATGGCAGAGCAAATGAGAAGAATTAAATGCTCAAAGCAGGAGGGCTTCATCTCCCAGCATCACGCCCAGCTGTAAGCCCAACAGTGGACTAATTCAGTATCACACACCCATGACCAGTCATGGATTCACAAAAGCCCCACCCATGATTACAGGAGGTTTTGGGGAGATATCTAGATATATAAGCCATAAGCCATTGCATGTAAATGATCCAGTTATCTTTTTTCATAAACATCACTTTCATTGAACAAACTTCTGTTTAGTTATAGATGTGATAATATGAAGGATATTTTCTGAGAGTTACTTTAATTTATTGGATCATGGTCCCAGAGGTAAGGTTTCTGATAATATTTTAGTTATTTTAAAAATATTTTATTTAGGGCTGGGGAGATAGCTCAGTGGTCTAAGTGCCTGCCTAGCAAGTGCAAAGACCTGGGTTCAGTCCCCAATACTGTATGCTGTGCTGTGCCAGCCCCAAGCTGTGCTGGACACTAAAGCCGGGTGTGGTGGTGCATGCCTGTAATCCTAGTGCTGGGGAGGCTGCGACAGAATTACTGTGAGTCCAAGCTGTGTAGTGAGACCCTGTACCAAATAAATAAATAAATATTTTAAAAATAAAAAGACAAAAAGCAAATACAAAACATAACAAAATCAAATCAGAAGAGGACTTACACAAGGACCTAAGAGTTAAACACAGCTCAGATTCCAAGCCCAGTTTCTTTCCGTTTACACTATACTTGCTACTTTTTAAATTCTAATGCCTATAAATGTAACACACAACACTCAGGTACTGCCTAGCTAATTCTTTATCCTAAATCAGCAAAAGGCAGAGGGTAGGTGCCAAACAGCAGCATAAAAGTTGAAAAGAAATGAAATTCAACAAGTGACTAAATGACAGTACAGGGGCTGGGGAGATAGCTCAATAGAATAAGCACTTGCCTGACAAGCACAAGGGCCTGAGGTCAATCCCCAGTTCCGTAAAAAAAAAAAAAAAAAAAAAAGACAGTACATCCTTTACCTAGTAGATGATTCAGCCTTTATAAGGAAAATGTAAATGTTGTATTTCATGTCTTTTTTCCCACTGCATGAACTGAGGGCCCACTGTGCACAATGAATGCACTTCAGAAAACATGAGTTCATCACAGCCTCCACCCTCAAAACTACTACACAAAACTGAAGAAAACAAGGCACACACAAACTGTTTAGAAAAAATGGATACATACAAGAAAATTTTGAAAAGCTTAATTTTAAGTAAAATAGGTTTTACTCCTCTGATGAATCAAAACGTTTTTTGGAGGTGGCCAGATAGCTCAGTGGACTAAAACCTGCTTAGGCAGAGAGCAGCGGCCAGGGTTCAATCCCCGGCATGCCAGCCTTGATCCCCAGCATGCCGGGCCAGTGCCGACCCTGCCCCCTGGGCACACTGATCCAGCAATTGAGACTGGTCATGGTGGCACATGCCTGTAATCCTGGCACTTGCGAGGCAGAAGAGAGGAGAATCACAAGTCCAATTTATGTAATGAGACCCTGTAAACCCTGTACTAATAAAATAAAATAAAAAAACAAAAATAAGACAGCTTATCTTCAATAGTTTACCTTATTGAAACATTTTATAATATAACTACAGGTTGTATCTTATAAAAGAAATAGGTAAGGTGACACAATACCTGGGAAAAACTAACTTCTGTGATAGTATTACAGAAAAGCTTCCTACTGCTTTGCTCTCTTAGTTCACAAAATCAAGCTGACCAGACAGCCAAGCTAGGACCCAGAGGTGCAAAAAGGTAAAGAGAAAACTGCCATTGCTAGTTAAAGTGCAAGAAAGTAGCAAGGAAACAAAAATGGAAACAGACTTGGAAGTTACTATAGTGAGATGATCAAGGCCCCAAGTTGGAGTTGAAAGAAGCACTGTGATTTCAGTGACTTCTCTACAATAGGTCTTATTCAGTTAGTTTTTGATAAAAATTTGCAAAATAAGGAATTACGGTAGAGAAATGAAATATACCACAATTGACTTGGTAACAAGTTTTTAAAACTGACCATCACAAGTGATAACAGGAATGAAGAGAGTAAGCTGTTACAATCATTCTGAAAGATTTAAAAGGGTACTTAAAAGATACCTGCAGAATTCAACATGGAGTATTCCCAATTCTAAATAAAATGTGTCTGACATTTATTCCACAAACTGTAATGATTCAATGTTCTCTCTACTGAATGTCACCCATGCTTGATCAACATGGTACATGACTAAATTACCATTACAAAATGCAACTAAACTTTAAACATGGTGTAAACCACATTATCCTACTTAGATGGTACATAATTTTCAAAAGCAAACTTTTTTTTTTTTTTTTTAGGTCCAGGGCCCACACAGGCCTGTAGAAATTTAAAAACTTTAATCAAAAGGGCTTGCAGTAATGTTAGCTTGTTGAGTAACCTAAATGCTATTTTTAGAACAGGCAACACTTCTCAATGTGCAACTTTTTCCAAATGATACTAACAAGGATCATATCCTATGTAAAAGCAAGACCTATATACTGTAACAGCTAAGATCTCTTACAAGTGTTGCTTATCTACAAGTGTTGCAACCTTAAGGATTTGATTTGTATCTTTATTTTTACATATTATTGTTTTTATTTGTTTTCTAGTTAAAAATATATTTAACATTTCGTTTTTATTTATATTTTCAGACAATGCAGTATTAAAGTGTACTGGCATCCTCTAAAAACCAAAACTCTTTACATTATACCAACATTTCATGTTCATAGGATAATCTGGGTCTCAGAACAACCCTGTGAACTATATAAAGAAAATTATCATCATTCCCTCTGTACAAGGTAACACCAGAACTTAAAAGGATTAAGAATATAAACTTGACTAATTCCAGATCTCACAAGAACTGACAAGTGTGGCACAACGACCAAAATTTCGGATTCTGGAGTCACCTTCTTCTCCCAGGACATTACCAAACTGAATACTGATGTGCCTCTTTTCAACACACCTGCACTGGAACTAAGAGCCAAGCTACTGTACTGCAGCCCTGACTTACTGTGAATCTCCAAATGCAGCAGTTAACACTAGTAATCTGTAAACACAAACACACGCTTTACTCAGGACCCCATTCAACGCTGAGTTCACACCACTGCACAACACTTATCCACTACGGCCTTACACATAAGCTTCAGTGGACTCCGTAGGAAATACTGTAACGGAGTAAAATGATCTCGCTCCATTCATTATGTTTTATATTAACAGTTCTGCATGCCAAAGAAAAAGAACGAATTCTACACACTGCGCTCAGCCCCCAACCCTAAAGTTGCTTAAGTGTCAAAGCGCGGCAGTAAGACACAAAGAAGTGGAGCTTGAACTCGCACTCTGCTCCCGACGCCCGCAGCCCAGAAGCCATGGAGCCATGGTATCGCCTCGGCCCCGGCCCTCCAGCACCGGAGAGAGGCCCGGCCCAGCGACCCAGCGCCGACCACAGCCTGCGGCGGCTCCCGCGCACTCCGCCGGCTGCCGGGCACGCTAGCCCAAAGCGGAGGGCAGCTGGGCGCCTGGGCAGGTCCGCTTCCGCCTCAGGCCTGGCTTCGGCGGGCCACCCCCCACCCTGTTTGACCGCGCGGCCGGGCCGGGCCGGGCCGAGCCGGGCCGGGCCGAGCCTCGGGACTGAAGGAGACGGCGGCCCGGGTGCGCGCGGACGCACGGCCGGGAAAGTGGTAGCCGCGCCCCGGCCACGCGAGGCTGTGCAGTGGCGGAGCGGAGCGGGAAACCCGGGGCCAGGCCGCGCCAGTGGTAGCCGGCAGCTACCTGCGAGCAGAAGTACGAGCCCTGGATGCCCAGCTTGATGCAGGTGGGGCACTGGAGCTTGGCCTCGCTGCTGCAGCCGTCAGTCTCGCACACCCGCGTCTCCACGGCCGCCATGCTGCCCACCGCCAGAGGAGCGCCTCACCTAGGAGGAGCGGGAGGGAGGGGCGGCGCGGAGGGCGGGAGCCGCGGAGGAGGAGCGCGGCCGCGGGCCCAGAGGCGAGGAAGGGGAGCCGGGCAGCCAAACCCACCCGCGCGCCGCCCCGCCCCGTCCCGTCTGGCCACGCCCCGCCCCCGTTGGCGCACGCAGTTTGCGCCCCGCCCCGCCGCCTTTCTCCGCCCCGAATAGCGACCCTTACCCTTCCCCCACCCTGGGCCCTAGCTCGCAAAAGAAACGACGGAGGCCGGCTAGGACCTCCGGGCACTGGGACCCAGCTGGTTACCAGCGCTACAGACAGCGCAGGCAGTGAAGACCGGGAGGCTCTGGAGGAGGGGATTTTACTCCACGCGCGGATGCAGAGACAGACCGGCTGCTTTCGCGAAGTCCGCACGACGAACCGAAGCTTGCGTGCCGGCTCACAGGTGGTTGGAAGCAGCGTCAGTTCAAGTTGTTTCCTCCTGGAATCCCCAGATAGTGCTGATTTCGAAGAACCGGAGTGCTATCCAGGGCTTCACCTAAGACCTTTATCTCTGGCCTGATTTTGATTTCTTTTACAAACTCCACCACCACTACTGCACTATTCAAAATATATAGTGCTGGTAATATTAACACAACCAAACATATACATTACTTATTTGTAATTCCTATCCAGTAAAACAAAGTTATTCTTCAACAACCAATTGGGATAATACAAAAAATACTGTTTGCAGTTGGTTGTTGAAGAATACATGAAAATTATGTTAATCCTGAAATATCAAAGTTAAAAGTTTTAAAGCTTAGCAAACACGAACTTTTTGACTAATCTCTCAATGACAGTCCAGATTTCTAACTTGAGCTTATCTTCTATCATTAGGGAAAAGAACTAATATTTATTGATCAGCAACCAAATTCTGTGAACTTTGTTGTATAAGCATGTTTTTAAACAGCTTTTTCATGTTTAAAGTTTTTACACAAGAGCTGTTATCACTTTAATAACTTGTTTCGCTGGATAGGAATTACAATTAATAATGTAATAAATAATAAAAACTTGTATATACACAAGCAAAAAGAAAAAACCCATACATTCATTCATATATGTATAATATTTTAGAATATAGAATATATGCTTTCTTTACTATATTGTGAATCTACTTGACTGTCATCAAATATACCACTAACATTGCAAGGGCAAGCAGAAACACCCAAACCAGAATTCGGGGGCAGATTTATTTACATCAGTGGCACAGATTGGGCTTGTTCCCAAAGTATCAGGCCCTGGTCTCTGGTGGTCTAGGGCTTATATGGAATGATCAAGCAGGAAGTACAGAGGCAGACTGGCTTGTCAATTGGGGATTGGTTCTTACAATATACATCACAGTGACCAGTTGTTTCTAAGGAACAAAGGTAACAGAATGTGTACTGGGGCTACTAACATGCTGAAGTGTATTGGCTGAGTGATGGGGGACTTATGCTGCTACATAATTTTAGTGACTGTAATATTGAATAGTTTACTGAGCCAAGGGGCCACCAGATAGCTCAGCGGACTAAAGCACTGCTGCTTAGGCCGGCCCAGTGGGTTCAATCTACAGCACGCCATGCCAGCCCCACCCCCAGGGCATACTGAGACAGCAACCGAGACTGGGCATGGTGGCACATGCCAATAATCTCAGCACTTGGAAAGCTGAAAACAGAAGGATCACTACGAGTCTGATCTGTGTAGTGAGACCATGTGCAAAATACATTTAAAGATAATAATAAAAATAGAATTGAGAAAAATGACATACTCTCATAACCATATTATGAGAAAGTGAAAACCGCCAATAATGGACAAATCAGTTGTTCACATCTAACTAATATAAAACACTAAAAAATCATAGTATATTTTTGTGATATTCCGACCCAAAATGCATATCAGACAACCCCAAAACTGAAGACAGTCTATTGTATAATTGACCTGTACTCTTGAAAATGCCATTGTTCAAATTTGAGAAACTGTTCAAGATCTAAAAAAATCAAAGAGATGCCAATACATGATTATAGGTTGGAATTTGAACCATAAGAAAAACATTTCTGCTAGGAAAAAAAAAAAATTAGGGCCGGCCAAATAGCTCAGCAGACTAAAGTGCCTGCTTAGGCAAAGCCCAGCGACTGGGGTTAGATCCAAGAGGTGCTGTGAGGGCCCTACCCCCAGGGGCAAGCTGAAACAGCGAATGACACTGGGCGTGGTGGCATGCATCTGTAATCCCAGTGCTGGGGAGGCTCAGATAGAAGGATTACTACGAGTCTGAGGAGACCCCGTACCAAATAAATAAATAAATATTTTTTAAAAAACTTTGCTTGCTTAGCAGTTATCTAATCCTGACATCTTGTTCTGGGACTTTCAAGGTTAAAGTCATTCTTTGGGGGTCGGTTAGTACAAAACTAAATAAAAGGACCATATATCTACAGTCTGGTTCTTTTCTTTTCTTTTCTTTTCTTTTCTTTTCTTTTCTTTTCTTTTCTTTTCTTTTCTTTTCATACCAGGGATCAAACTCGGGACCATATGCTTGCCAGGTGGGCTCTTATTCTGCTGAGCTATCTCCCTGGCCCCTACAGTATTTCTTACTCTAGGGTTCAATTTACAACACACAACAGAAAAATGTTCATTACTTGCAGAATTGAGTCCAAACAGACTACTTCCACATACACCTGGCTTAACTCAGTAGCCTCTTCTCTTAATACCCTTTTGACTCTCTAGTAATAGCAAGCTCTTTTTGGTTTCTTGAACACAGTGCAATTTCATTCTTTCACGTTCTTACTTCTGTTCTCTTTACCAGGAGGAGGGTTCCCCAGTCTCTTAATGAAACTACTGTTTCTTTACTATCCTACTGTAACACTAATTTACCCATTAAATTTTGCTGACTTCATTGGCTTTAATCAGTGCCTCCTCTCTGACACCTGTAAGCTAAGTGCTACTGTTGCAACAGCAAATTTAACCAACACTTAGTAAGGATTTATTATATCCTAGTCTTGTCCCCCAGCATTATGTTGGAAATTCAAGCCCTACCTCCACATTTCCTAACAGCAGATACAAAAAGACTGAATGATAACTCAGTCTCTTCTCCAGAAAATTATCAGAGACAAGCAATGATAAGCCATGTTTTCAGAATGACATCATATGGTAGGAAATTTGGTTTGCCCTGTGTGGAATCAGTCAGGATTTCAACATCAGTTCCATCACATATATCCATACTTTTAACCAGTCTGCATGCTCCCAATGCCTCCAGGATACACTGTCATTACACTGTGAAGTCAGACGGAATTCCCATTCCTATTCAGCAGATAAACATTATATCTGGGAACAGCACTACGCTGATCATGGGTCTGACCATTACGACAGAGGAAACAGAGAGGATGTCCTCTAAGAATACAGAAATCATAATACCTGAAGCCATTTGTAGAGTAGAAGAGATAGTAGAGATGGAAACTAGTGTTCATCTCAACATGAGCAAACATTAAAAGGCCTTCATTTTAGGCTCTTTTGACTAAATTGGAGTGGAATATTCAGAAAAACTGTACAGAGTTGTTTCACAAGTTGCCACATTCCTCTATGATTTTTAAACCTAAGGCCACAGAGAATGTGGTTAGTCTTACTACATTAAAGATCTGTATTTTATGAAGGAGAAAGGATTTTGCACAAAAGAAAGTAACACATGAGGCTGGTGAGATAGCTCAGTGGTCTAAAGCACCCACTTAGGCAAGCACACAGGGACCAGGATTCAATCCCAGCACCACATGTTGCACCAGCCCCACCCTCAGGGCAGGCTGAGCTGACCAAAAATAAATAAACAACACCAGAAAGAAAAAAAAAAAGAAAGAAAGTAATCATTTTAGACAAAAAAGGTGATTGTATAGATGGGTTAAACTCTAAGACAAGTATTTCAGTTATCTGTTATCCTTTTGTAATGCAAGAAATTTCTTGTTAAATAAATCTGATTCTGGGATATATAATGGAAAACACCAAATTTGATAGCCTGAAACAACTGTTTTTGTTACAACTTGGAAAATAAAATTTTCAATGATTTTTTAATGATTTATTTTATTAACAGTTTATTCAATAAAACTTGTTAAATTTGGTTATACATCATGTATATATTCTATGACATGCTCTTTTGAACTTTATTCCTCATAAAAGTGTAATTTTATACATACTATTTCATTCTAAAATTTTAAAACTTTTCATTAAGTTATGTGTCACTCAGGAAGTTAAATATCTGGTTTTAATTTTTTT